GTGTCCGGTGTACCAGATAGTGATTCAACAATTGTGTTCATTACTCAGCGCTCATCATGAGAAGGGTATGCATCACCATATAGTTGAAGGCAGAATGTTAGCCAGTCTTACAGCTTTCAGCCTCTTCTCTGGAGAAAAGGATTCCAATTTTCTTTGCCAGCACTGATGAGAGCTATCTTCTGGGAGTCTGGCAGTGAGGATCCCCTAGTCATGGCTGGAGAGGTGACTATCTCCCCCCTTCATCTCCCAATTACCTGCCTTTCCCCCCAGGGTCAGCCCTGGGGGTTGTGAGTCCAGAGGGGAGAAACCCAGCACAAGTGTTCAGGCTGGCATCACGGGTCCTCTTCTTTCCTGTGGGGACTGAGTCTACTATTTCTCCAGTCCAGATCTAGAGAAGTGGTCCACAATAAGCTTCAGGCTCCAAGAGGAAGAGCCTGGTGTCGTGCCTGGAGCGTGGCTCTGTGGAGAGGCTCATGTGGGCTGAAATACGGGCTCGGTTGCTCCTCGGATGAGTGTCCCGAACTCTCTTAGCTGCTGTTGGTTCTGTCATACAGGAAGGGCAACCATTCTCATGGAGGGCTGTTGAGGGAAAGAAATAGGGTCTTGTGTACGGAGCGGGGCACTCGGGGTGTCCGAGAATGGCAGCCTCCTCCCCTTCCACACTGGGCTTGCCAAGGATAGCTTCAGGCTCTGGAACATTCTCAGCATGGTGTCACCCCCATGGAGAAGGTTGGAGTCAGGGCTTGAGCAATCTTTACCATCCTCTAATTTCCTTTGCAAAGGAAAAACTTTTCTTGGCATTAGAAACCAACAGAACCTCAAACCTGGTCTTCACTCAGGGTTCTAAAAAGCCGTAAGCAGAGAGCAAAGGAGGAAAAGCCAACCAACACAAAACAAGAAAAGATGCATGGGGTCTAGCAGAGTGTAAGCAGAATGTGAAGCCAAAAGATGGGGGAAGCAGCCTGAAAAGGATGTGGAACAGAAGAGGAAAGTGGACGCAGGCCACATAAATGAAAGGGGAAGTAGAGAACAAGGAAGCTGATTGGAAACAATGGGTAAATGATAACCCAAAAACAGTTGAAAAATAAATGAGCAGACCTGAGAAAAGGAAGTGGGCCGGAGGAAGCAGAGAAGGAGCGGAGACAGAGGCAAGTGAGCAAGTTGACAGAGCAGGGTCGTTTCTGCTGGAGGATGAAACACACGTGTGCACAGAGCTCTGCGTCTGGGCTCAACTCAGACGCCTGCAATTCAACACCATTTAGCTTGTCCCGCACGCATCTCTCCTCTCACAGCCCCATATGTAGGAGACCCGGCTGAGGAGGCCTTGCAAAGAAGGCTTATCTCCTTGGATCCCTGCACTTGGTTCCTGCTGTCCTCAGGGGCCAGGAATGCCTGTGTCCAGCCAATCAGATCCCTGGTGGCTGTTCAGCCTGCCCAGAAGCCCACTGTCAAGGACTGGCCCTGCTCCCGTTTGCTGCCAGGAGGCCCCATCATTAGGCTTGTCTCCCAGTCGTGGGACATCTCAGAGGATCCAGGAATAATAAGAGGACCACCAAGCTCAGGCCTACCCTTCCTAAAAAGGTCCTTCTCTTGATCGGTCTGTCAAGTTCAGTGGAATAATTCAGTGACGTCCTTCCTGGACATCAGGTTTCTGTTGTAAATGGTGCCCTTGCATGCTCTGGGCTTCTCAACCAGCAAAGCTGGGTTCAAACTGGTGGAGGGCTCAGACTGCATAGAAGCCTGGGCCACCCCCAGCCACACAGTGAGGCAGAGCTGGGCCCTGACCCTGGCATGGAAGAGCGTTTTGTCACGGGCAGCTGTGATTTCTGACCCTGGAGAGCTGGTGGGTCTGCGCTTGTCTCCAAGGGCTCTGCAGTGTGGCCAAAGTGACTTCTGCTTCTCTATGTCTTCTATTCATTCATTTGCTCACTCACTCATTCCTTTATTCAACACACTAGGCATCCGCTAAGCACCAGGAGTTCAAACAAGGGTCCCTGGCCTGGGATCAGAAAGGACACTCAGGGGCCCTGTGGGCACCTCTGGGAACTAGACAATCAAAAGGCCACTGTCACTATTCCTTCCACAGAGCAATTGGGAATGAAAGTTTAGGAGACAGTATTTAGCCTCCTGCAAATATTCCTGTAGCATTTGCTTGGTGCTAGGCCTCTCCCTCTCTGTCAAACACTAATCTGCAGAGCTGAAGAAGATCCTGTTCCTCCCTCAGGAACTCCCAGTCGCAAGCAGGCAGGGCAGATAGGCTGGCCACATGTGGGCCCAAATGGCAGCCCTGCCACATGACAGCTGTGTGGCATTGAGCAAGTTACTCACCCTCTCTGAGTGAGTGCATCTACTTACCCATAAAGTAGAGGTAAGTATACTGTTACGTGTTGGCTACCATTTATTGAGCATGCACTATGTGCTGGTTATCATATTCAACTATTTGCTTGTTTATTTATTTTAATTTTTCATATAACTCATTATATTTTTGTGTATGTTTATTTTTTAAAATTTCAAGTCAATTAATGAATTTTTTCCCAAAATAAGTAATATGTGTTTAGCAATGAACCTGACAGCTGAGTGAAAACAGTAAAAGTATTCTTTACTCCCTTCCTCCCCCATACCCCCCAAAAAAGCTGAAAAGAAAATATTTTTTATTTCAGGAAAAAAAATAAAACCAACTTTACAGACCAATGTCTAGGGTGGGAGTGAGCAATAATACAAGAGCTCACAGGAAACCTGGATGATTGCAAAGGTCTAAAGTGCTTCTGCTTCCTTGCCAATTGCATTTATTAAGTGCCTGCTATATGTAACACACCATGCCAGGTGCGCTCCTCAGAAGAGCACTGAGCACAGACATGAGAATGAGTTGCAGTCTTGCAGATAAGGAACGTCAGACTCAGAGGTTCCAAGTTCACCCAAGGTCACTTGGCTGGAGAAACAGACATGAGATTCAGCCTCAGGAGACCCGAGTCTGCCCACCTGTCTGTTCTCCCTCCTCAGTGACCCAGGGACACATGCTGGAAGATTTAGAGGAGGTCCCTGTGTATGAGGCATGGTGCCCAGAGTGGAAATTAAACCTATGTCATGCAGATTTGGCAAAATCAATCCAATGCACCAGCACAATGTTCCTGAGCCACAGGACTGAGCACAGTCCTGAGCACTGAGCACTGAGATACCACACAATCTTCCTTATCCTTGGCCTCCTTTCAAGGCCAACTGTGCCAGCTCTTTCACTGGGGAAAATAGGAGGAGGAAGAGGATGGTAGCTCTAGGTTCCTGAACTTATGATCCCTGAGTGCTTGACAATTTCCACTCTCACAAAGCTGTGTGTCTGGGAAGATGTGCCGCTACCATAAGCCACATGCATGGAGTAGGAATTTCCCCATCTCCCCATATCTCAGCTTGAAACTGACATTGTGTATCTCAAAAGGGGCAGTACATCAGCCATTTTACGTAAACTAAATATTATTGGATAAGGTCACAGCCAGGGTTTCATCTCTGAGAAAAGGGCATTGCAGCTTAAGGCAAAGAAAGCATACACCCTCCCTGGGGGTTGAGAACTCCATCCCAGCCTGAGACGCCCAGGTCAGAAAGGCTTAACCCACTTCTTCCTGGAAGACTCTGGGGACGATGAAGAGATGGGCCAGAACACAAATCAGAGGCTTGGAAGGGAGAAGCAAAGCCCTGGCTGGGAGGGTGGACGCTCACCTTGGCAGAGACACAGTCTTGTTAAAACCACTATGAAAAGGATGCAGTGGGGTGTGGAAACTCCCTTGGTTAAAGAGGTGTGAACTTTGTTTTTAGTTGTGGTGGGGAGGGAGGCAGTGACAACCAGGAGGTATGCTCTGAACATACTTAGGGGTTCTCAGGGATGCCTGTATATGGCATCACAAGAAAGAGGAGAGGCCCCAGTGGGCTAGAGTGAAAGGGTTGCCCTTGTAGCCTCTGGAGTGACAAGCGAGTCCTGGCTGAAGAGCTGAAGAGAGAAGGGGACAAGTGTTACTTCTCAACCTGTGCAGAAATGTCTTCTCTTTTAATTTTTGTCCTGAAAGAACAAAATTCTTATGAATCACTAGGCCACAGTGAGTGCAGGGCTGGTAATTAGGGGGTGAATTAGCCACCTGGACCCAATGCAACAGGTCCATATAGGATCAGGCAGTCCTTTCATAACAGCAGAGGCCCTATGAAGGCAGTGGCGACACTCCTCTTCATTTGAATTTGTGGGATGGTCATCCATGGCTGTCTGCTTAGAACTGAAGGGTTTCCAACTTTTGGTGCTAAAATCAGGAAAGTCCAGGGCAAACCAAGAACAGGTGGTCACTCTAGAGTGTACAACTCTGTGTCTTATCCCTTAAGGAAGAGAAGGACCTGTTGGTTCCAAGAGGAAGAGGAAGAGAAAGATCTCTCAAAAACAAAGATGAGGGGCTTCTGGGTACAGGTCTGCTCAGGGCTCTGTGTGTCTGAAGAGTGCCTGACACCTCTCTCTTCAGTCTGTCTCCTGCAGGAGAAATTGGGATCCAGAGGGTAGAGGAGGTGGAGAATTGTTTCAGGGAACTTTGGACTAGACATGGGAATTATGGCTGTACCCCCTACCATCTCACTCCCTCTTAGCCATACCCATAGTCCTCTCTCCCATTATCCACACACTGGTCAATCTTCTGGATAGTTGTTTGAAAATCAAAGGAGAAAAGATCTGTCTCAAGCTTCAAAAGGTCTAGATTCAAATGCTAGCTGAGCCATTCACTGTGTAGGTCTGGGCAAGTCTCTGAATCTCTCAGAGACCTGATTTCCTCTTCTGTCAGAGAAATCTATTGCAGCCTCCATCAAGAGTCTGTTGTGGAGATTAAACAAGATGACATGTGTGACATTGGGAAGTGTTATTCATTAGGCATCCAACCAATATTTGCTTATTCCAGTCTGCTTATGTGTGGGACCAGACAGAATCCCAACTTTGTTTCTCTGAGAATTAATGCTGTTACTTGTTTTCCTTTCTGATCCAGGCCCTCACCATGCCCACACACTCCCCTGAATCAATTTTGGAAGACTTTGAGTACGATGAGTATGCTGAAGCCTGTGATATGGGGGACATCGTGGCCTTTGGGACCGTCTTCCTGTCCATACTCTACTCCCTTGTCTTTGTCTTCGGCCTGCTGGGGAATTTGCTGGTGGTGTTTGCCCTCACCAATAGCCAGAAGCCCAAGAGTATCACTGACATTTACCTCCTGAACCTGGCCTTGTCTGATCTGCTCTTTGTAGCCACCTTACCCTTCTGGACTCACTACCTAATAAGTGAACAAGGCCTTCACAATGCTGTGTGCAAACTCACCACCGCCTTCTTCTTCATTGGCTTTTTTGGAGGCATATTCTTTATCACTGTCATCAGCATTGATAGGTACCTGGCAATTGTCCTAGCGGCCAACTCCATGCACAACCGGACCGTGCAGCATGGCGTCACTATCAGCCTAGGTGTCTGGGCGGCAGCCATCTTGGTAGCAGCACCTCAGTTCATGTTCACAAAACAAAGAGAAAATGAATGCCTCGGTGACTACCCTGAGGTCCTGCAGGATCTCTGGCCTGTGCTCCGCAATGTGGAGGCAAATTTGCTTGGCTTCTTGCTCCCCCTGCTCATTATGAGTTACTGTTACTTCAGAATCATGCGGACACTGTTTTCCTGTAAGAACCACAAGAAAGCCAAAGCCATCAAACTGATCTTTCTGGTGGTCATCATGTTTTTCCTCTTCTGGACACCCTACAATATCATGATTTTCTTAGAGACTCTTAATCTCTATGACTTCTTTCCCAGTTGTGACATGAAGAGGGATCTGAGGTTGGCCCTCAGTGTGACCGAGACAATTGCGTTTATCCACTGTTGCCTCAATCCATTTATCTACGCATTTGCTGGAGAGAAGTTCAGAAGATACCTTAACCACTTATATCGGAAATGTCTGGCTGTCCTGTGTGGCCATCCTGTCCACATCAGTTTCTCCCCAACTGAATCACAAACGAGCAGGCGGGAAAGCATTTTGAGCAGCAATTTTACTTACCACACCAGTGACGGAGATGGGTCCATCCTTCTCTGAATGAATGAATACCCAAAGCCTTATCTCTTGATGAACTGAATGCCCCCAAACAACCCCAAAGCATTTTTGAGAATGTAAGAATGTCCCTAACTACAAATGCCAGGGCTTTTTGTTTACAAATGATAAAAATTTAACTCAGACTAACTTAATGAAAAAGGAGGTGGGGAGTATTATTCATAAGGTGGCTTGTGCAAGAGAGTGGATGTGCCCTCAAAGTAGAAACTAGGGCTTGAGTCCAGCAAGAATTTCCTCTCTCTGGCTCTCAGATCTCTGAGTGGTGACACAGCTTAGCCAATAATGAGACACTGAGACCCATCCCTCTCTGGTCCCAAGGTTAAAATTCCCAGGGAAGGGCTTTCATTGGCCAAGTTTGAATCAGATGTCCATCCCCAGACCAGATTGTATCCATGGGGGGAGAATAGATAAGATGGCAGCTTCCATTCCAGTCTCATGGTTAAAAGTGCCAGGAGTCATAGTTCCAAGAAGCTGGAGGGCTAGGTGCTTTTTTGATCTGATAGAACAAGAGCTGCCCATCAACCTAGTTGTCTGGGCCAACCTCCTCACTGATCACACCAGCCAGCACACATTGCCAACCTCCTCTCCCTGAAACCCCTTTCTATCATGCCCCCAAACTTACAATGGTTGCCCAGTGCCTACTGCATCAAATTTGAGATCCTCCATCATGCAGTCCCACCAACAGATTTCCCATTTCGTCCTCTTTCTGAAAGAATCCCTCCTCTCAGCCAGCCAGGTCTCTTCCATCCAGCCATATGCGTCATCACCTGCTTCCAGGCCCAGGAAGATAAATAGAAAGAACCCTGGCCCAAACTAAGAAGGGATGGCTTCCAATCCCAGCTCAACACTTGGCGCACTGAGTAGCTTGAAGACAGCCCAGCTTCAGCTTCCTCATCTACAGAATGGAGATGGGGTACTTTTCACATAGGGAGCATCCTTCCCAGCATGAGGAGCCAGCCACCAATTCTTGCAGATCCCATTCCTCTTATCTGGTTCCCAGACTTCAGCTTTCCCCCCTATCTGGCCACACCACTTAAGGGGCAGTGTTGGCAGAGACTTGGCTGTGTTATTCGAGGGAGCTCAGATACAGAGGAGGCTGGTTCCTACAGTGGCACTCAATGGACAGTCCTAGATATATAAATTGATGGTCCTCCCTGACCCAGCACTCCAGACTGCCTTGAATGTGCCTTTCCAATTGCCTTGTGGCAAGCCCCTTCCCATCTGGAGAGAATCCCCATCATTCATGCCACTGCCAACCTGGAGAGCCAGGGTCCCAGGAGCAGCTTTCTCCCCTTTTCTGTAGACATCTGGGTTGGTCTAATACTTTAGAGCTTGAAAAACAATTGTAATGCTGAAGAGAATGTCACCTATAACCTAAGCATGCAATACCTTCATTTGTCCACCCAGAACTTGTTCACACTTTGACATGTTTAGAGTTGAAAGCATCATGTACAGACTGTTTTGTAATCTGCTATTTTTCTCTTAACATTAGGCCACAGATAGTTCCGTTTCTGTATAGTTTTGTAATGATGGCTTTAGAAGGCTCTGCCAGGTTGTGTACTCATTGAAGGCAACTGACTCATTGCTGTATTTCTGACACCCTCTTGGCAAAGTCAGTAAGTTGGTTTAAACGAGAGAATGAATTATGTTCCATCAAGATCACGTACTGTAATTTACTCACCATTATCCTTTGATAAACTTGTTTCCCATATTTAACAAATACATATTACAGCACTTCTGTCTGTGTAATTCCCTTTCTCCTCTTCAATGATTTCCTTTGAATAGATTATTCATCATGGGGGTCACTGGGACGAAGGCACAGGAAATGTTTCGCTTTGGACACATACACACAAAATTATTATGAAATCATTATTGTGCATATATTATATGCATTACGTGGGCTCAGATCCAGAGTGGTTCCAAAGATGAGTAAGGCCTCTGCCTGCCTTGATTTAACATTCAGGTGCAGAACAGAGAAGTAAACAAATAAATATACTTTGCGTTCATTGGTCACAGAGGAGCAGTCAGACCTGAGTCTTTAAGGGTAAGGAGCTCTCCTGGCAATGGAGGGGATGGCATTCTAGGCTCAGTGAATGGCATATGTAAAGGAGGTGAATGAGAGCATTGGGATCTTAGGATGTAAGAAAAGTGTGTGAATACTGAAAGGCATTAGGAGCAGAATGGGTGGGAAGACTCTTCTGGAACATTGGCTCAAACAACTAACAGAGGGGCACATTCTCTTCAGGCTATCCACAAGTTTGTTCCGTTATCACTTGAACCTCATTGCAACTGTTGAATCATAAGATTTTAAATAAATTTTAGCTTATTTCTGGACTCCCAAGAAAAGAGGGAAAAATTCTTTGGGCTTGAAAAAATAAAAGTAGAAAGATAAGTGCTTTCATTTCTAAATGGAAATTAAATTTGTATCATAAGAAACATTCACTCAGTCATTCTGCTGAATAAGACAAAGTAAGGAAGAAATAGGGAAGTTCATTGAAAAACCCTAAATAGCAATGATGCTGGTGGCTAAATAAAGGAAGGCACATTTGGAAAAGACAGTTGGTCCTAAGAGCACAGCTGGATCAGACCCACTACTGCTTCTGAGTTCCAGGCTTCCCAAAAGCAGAGGAAAATGGACTCCAAAGGCAGAGAGAGAGATCTGTGATAGTGTCCCAACATATTAACTCTGTGACCTTGGGCAGTTACTTGACACCTCTGAGGCTCAGTTTCCTCATTTGAAAAATAAGAACAAAAGTAGTGCCTACCACCTAGGATTATTGGAGGATTTAATAAGATTGCCTTCACAATGCTCACCATGCAGGCCTGGCAAAGCAAGATCAAATAAATGGTGGTGACAACTTTTGGATATTTCCCTCTTCTCCTCCTTCTCCTTCTCCTCGTCCTCCTCCTTCTCCTCTTTTTTCTTCTCCTTCTTCTCCTCCTCCTCCCTCTTCTTCAGTTGAAACTTTCCCAGCGAAGAAATGCATACTATCTTGCTCTTGCCTCTGGGACTCTGAGTCCCAGAATCACAAAATTGTAGGTGTCAATGGGGGACAGGAGACCCAGATGGGGCTGGAGGCTTGTCCAAGATCACACAAGGAATTAACGAAAGAGGTAGATCCTTTGACACTCTATCTACTGATTTTTTTTCATCTTGATAAAAATAGAGCCCAATTCTATTATCTGTGGTTAACAATGTTGTATTGTATATTTAAAAGTTCCTAAGAGAGTAGATTTAAAAATTCTGAAGACACACACAAAACTATAACTGTGTAAGGTGATAAATGTCTAAACTAACCTTATTGTGGTAATCATTTTGTAACATATACATATATAAAATCACTACATTGTACACCTTAAACTTATGCAATGTTATATATCAATTATATCTCAGTAAAGCTGGGAAAAAATACAGACCAATCCCTGCCTCTGAGAGCAGAGAACACAGGTGAGCATGGAAAATAAAATCCAGAAGGAAGGTCTGCAGATCTGGGAGGGGAGGTCTGCCCTCCAGAATGCCAAGTTTAACAGAATCAGTCCACTCACAATGACAGATGGCAGCCTGGATGGGGCAGCTTTTGGCAACAGCTCTTCTGTGACATCAGTATCTCTAATGAAGGTGGTAAACAGACACTCATCAACAAGGATACCAGGATTCCCAGAGGGAAATCTATCAATAGGATCTGAGTTGGTAGGCAGAGTCTTAGTTGAGAAGGGCCACTGTCCAAGGATGGGCACACCCTGGGGGAAGTGGCCAGCCCCTTCCAGATAATCGTACACACTTTAGGCTTATTTATGCTCATCAAATGACTGTCTGAGGGAGAAGTCATCTTTGCAAGGATGTCATCACCAAGAAAGGTGGAGAGTACACTCCTTGGATTGGTGGGAAGAGCTACTACCTCTATAATCCACTACATCTAGAGAGTATACAAGGTCTGGTGGGCTTTCCATTGTCTCTCTCTCTCTGTGTGAGTCTATCCCTGAGGAGAGAATTGACCTCTGGTCCCACAAAGCCACCAACTATTCATGGGAATATGGCAACTTGACTGAGAAGTCCACCTTGGGTATCACCCGGCCCTGAGTTGATGCCTCATTAGTGCCCTCAAAATTAGGGTAGTCTGTCCCAACCAGAAGTTAATTTTCTCCTCCATCCACACCCACTTCCCTGGCCCATGGGGACCAGACCAGTTTCAACATGACTTGTAATATAGCTACGTTGGCAACCCCATGGTGGGCTACCCCAAAGTGATATTATCTGACAGCAAGTGACAAACATAGTTCTTAGCAAAATTAGGAATATACGGTTTCCCTTCAAGACACCCTCCATCCATAGGAGGGCCAATTTGTTTTCTCAAGGATACAGGCACTATGTTTCCATTTCTGTTGAATAAGACATGTTATTAGGCAACAGCCACAGTTCCTCCACAGATACACCCTAGACAGCTCTAGAAACCACAAAACATGTTCAGCAGGAAAATTACTCTTTTCCTCCATATTTCCTCATTTACTGAGGTAGAAACAAAAATAAATTTTAATTTATGTTTCTTTTTTTTTGTAATCATTATTTCAGTTTAAAGAACTTCTTGCCATTTACAACCTAAATCCAGTTTTCTCTTTTTTTATTAATTATTTTTATTAACATATAATGTATTATTTGCCCCAGGGGTACAGGTCTGGAATCGTCAGGCTGACACACTTCATAGCACTCACCATATCACATACCTTCCCCAATGTCCATAACCCAACCACCCTCTCCACACCCCGCCCCAGCAGCCCTCAGTTTGTTTCGTGAGATTAAGGGTCTCTTATGGTTTGTCTCCCTCTCGATCCCATCTTGTTTCATTTTTTCCTTCCCTACCCCCCAAACCCCCCACTCTGACTCTCAAATTCCCCATATTAGCGAGATCATATGATAATTGTCTTTCTCTGATTGACTTATTTTGCTCAGCATAATACCCTCTAGTTCCTTCCATGTCATTGCAAATGGCAACATTTCATTTCTTTTGATGGCTGCATAATATTCCGTTGTGTGTGTGTGTGTGTGTGTGTGTGTGTGTGTGTATCACATCTTCATTATCCATTCATCTGTTGATGGTTGTCTAGATTCTTTCCATAGTTTGGCTATTGTGGATATTGCTGCTATAAACATTCAGGTGCACATGCCCCTCCGGATCACTACGTTTGTATCTTTAGGGTGAATACCCAGTAGTGCAATTGCTGGGTCATAGGGTAGCTCTATTTTCAACTCTTTGAGGAACCTCCATGCGGTTTTCCAGAGTGGCTGCACCAGCTTGCATTCCCACCAATAGTGTAGGAGGGTTCCCCTTTCTCTGCATCCTCTCCAACATCTGTTGTTTCCTGACTGGTTAATTTTAGCCATTCTGACTGGCATGAGGTGATTTCTCATTGTGGTTTTGATTTGTATTTCCCTGACGCTGAGTGATGTGGAGTACTTTTTCATATGTCTGTTGGCCATCTGGATGTCTTCTTTGCAAAAATGTCTGTTCATGTCCTCTGCCCATTTTTTTAAAAGATTTTATTTATTTATTTGACAGAAAGAGAGAGAGATCACAAGTAGGCAGAGGCAGGCAGAGAGAGCGGGGGAAGTAGGCTTCCTGCTGAGAGCAGAGAGCCTGATGCAGGGCTCAGTTCCAGGATCCGAGACCATGACCTGAGCCGAAGGCAGAGGCTTAACCCACTGAGCCACCCAGGTACCCCCTCTGCCCATTTCTTGATTGGATTATTTGTTCTTTGGGTGTTGAGTTTGATAAGTTCTTTATAAATTTTGGTACTGGCCCTTTATCTGATATGTCATTTGTGAATATCTTCTCCCATTTTGTTAGTTGTCTTTTGGTTTTGCTGACTGTTTCCTTTGCTGTGC